TGAATTACTATGCAGGTAAAGAAAAAATTGCACACCCAGAATGACAGTGCTTCTGTGGTTCCAGGGTGGCTCGGACTCTTCCTGTGGGGAGCTAATGCTTCTTCTCACTGTGCCCTTACTGGGCAGAGAAGCCATGTGGGCAGGGCAGCGAAGCTCTTCCTGCTTGGCTTCTGCTCCGAAAGGGCCTCACCCTCAAGAGCCATCTAAGCAGTTTCTAGCAGTAGAACAGGGTGCGTCCAAGAGGAGCACTAATAATTTGAATGGGTTTTGGGCTTAAAAACAAAGAAATAACATCAACAAGAAATAACAGGATATGGAAGATAAAGAAAATGTGCAGATTTCTAAATACATAAGCATTGAAGATACAGGTAAGGTTCAAAACTTTCATTTCATAGTTTGCCTGCTTCTTATAGGAATGTTTTAAAAAGTTTCATATATTTCAATGAGAAAAGCTCATGGTGACTTAATTTTTCACAAGTAGATCAGTAAAAAGTGTCTGAACATACTGTCCTTCAGGAATGACAGAGTCTTGACTCCTCTCAGGTCTGATTCCTGCTCATTGTTCAAGGAAGCGGCCTGATAATTTTACCAGAGGTGTGTTTGTACCACGGTCCTAGCCTATTGGTCCTGTCTCTCTGCTTTACTAACAAGGAGAATGGTTTTTAAAGTCAGGGAGAGAGAGAACCATTTGCCCAGCATTCCTTTTGTTTAGCTTGAGCGGCTATGCAGAAAACCGTGTGTGCTTCCAAGAAGAAACCCTTAGTAAGGAGTAGAAAATGGGTATTCAGATGTTGATCGGCATGTTTACAAAAGGAGGCCGTAGTGTAATGCTCAAAATGTATGTTACAGATGAAATGTATTTTGTGTTTCACATCATAGGGACATTATACTACTGTAAAGCTCAGGCCATGACACTCACCTATAATCCCAGCCACTCACAGGGCTGAGGTAGAAGGATGCAGATGTCTGGGTTAACCTGAGCAATGTAATGAGACCTTGTCTTAAAGGAAAGCAAAATAGCTTGTATTGTTTAAATGGTCCTACTAACGTGTATTTAGTTTTTGTAATGGGGAACTTCAGGGCAGAAACTAGCCAGAATTGTGTAAATACTGAATGGAGAAAATAATAATTTTGAAAAGAGATTTACCTTTTTTTCCTCTTAACTCATTCATCAGTTTTATTATGTAAGCAAATTAATGGGTTCTGAATCCTTGGCTAACAGTTACAATAGAGTAGGCTGTCTGTGTTTACTGAATGCCTGGCAGTTATTCATTGACTTCTACTGCAGACTAGGTTCTCTCCCGCACCACATTCCCTAAGAAAGAACTGAATTCCAATGCAGACAGCAATTATGTGTTGCTTTTCTTTGTCCACTGTTTATGTACCAGTGATGGATCAGTGACACTTATCAGGGCGCAGTACTACAACAGAAAAAAATTCTTCGAGCAGACTTCATATCAGCTCCCTTTATCTTGCCTTGCTTCTGAGTTTAAATGAACAGTCTTCGGGGTAGAAAGTCTCCTAATCATTGGCACAGTTGAGGCCTGAGTTGAGGCTTCTCCACATTAATAGTGAAAGTGTTCATTGCTCAGCAACTTACCTCGATAGTTTCCTTTTAAGGGGCATTGGCCATGGTCAACCTTAGTTAGGACATTTACCTGTCTATGGTATAGGCAGTTAGTGAAGTATGAAGGGACAGACAGAAAATAACCAGGAAGTGGCGAGAAAGAATCAAAGGAATCTTATCCTATACACAAGGACTTTCCTAGCCCTTAATTACTGGTTTGGGTTTCCTTTTGTAAAGGCAGAGAAATGTGCGGCTTCCTCAGCAAGGTCAGTATGTTGACATGACAGATACGTTCTCTGGCAATACCTTATGACCTCACTTGTGCTTCTTCTCCTTGCATGGTATTTGCTGATTTACCATAGAAAGTTCGTTTGGGTTGACGCATTCATAGATACCGTCAACATAAGAAACATCCTATTTTGAGAACAAAGTTATCTATGTCCGTTTGTTCTGTGGCTCAAACTGGTCTTCAATTTCTATTGTTGCTATTTTTTGATGAAAATCTGCCCTACTGCAATGATTATAGGTGTGCTTGGGCTAGCCATGACAGTTTTGTCCTTAATTGTCATTCATAACACTAAGAGTTACCACCTGCATTATGACAAACTGCTCACAAAGTGGAGGTAGATGGGTGTAATCACCATTGGTTGGAATCTAGCTGAGTGGAAACAGCATTCTTCATGTACTGAAATACAATCTCCTGGAGTCCCTAGTTTTTCCTCACAGGTCCCTCAAAAAGAAGGCTGTTCTTGTGACTTGGTGTGTAAGGCCTGTTCTGTCTGCTCCGTTGTTTTTTTGGCAGCATTAACAAACGGAATGTGACCTAGCAATATATGTGTAGAAGCCAAAGGGCAAGACTATCACTTTGAAATGTATGGAATGCTAGCGTACCATAGTCAACCAAGAAGAAGGGAAAAGGTGGCAAGGATTCAAAGGGTGTGCGCAGCACTGTCTCTCCTGCAAGTTCTTCTGACAGTTGCAGCTGATTCTAGAGTTTGGTCTTGGCTTCAGAGCATCTGTAGCCAGTCAGATCACACTATGCATCACTTGGGACTTAATGGCTGCTTTACAACTCATGATGCTTTAGGTGTTGCTGTGGATAAAAGCATTAAGCCCAATAGCCACCAGTGAGGGATGGCTGCTCCCGGTTTCCAGCAATTGGCTTCTATCAAATGTCTCATTACTAACTTTAAGTAATGGTCTAAGACTTTTTTCCAGTAGACTGTGGCAGGGCTAAATACTTTAGGATAGTATTATAAGAGAAAAATCACTTCAGGGAAAAATGTTTAAGAGTCAAAAGGTATTGTGGGTTTTGTTTTGTTTTGTTTATGTGCATTTATTAATCTTAGCTATTTTAATAATCCCACAAGATCAGCAAGTCCAAGGAGTAAAGGTGATATAGCTGTCTTTGGCTTTTATCATGGCCTATTTTTATTGTTCATTTATAATTTATGTAGAAATATGTCTATTTGTGGAGGCTGTTGGTTTTGGTGTTAGTAAATGCCATAGGATTTATTCTGAAAGAGCCTTCCAACTGGGCTACTCAAGTCGGGCAAAAGACACCCTCAGGAAACTGTTAGGGCTTCAGATACCACTGGAGACTGCTCGTGGATCAGCTCCCTTGTGACAGCTCACTGCAGGTGGCACGTGTACTTACTGCTCTATGGGGGCAGGAAGGATCCACAGCCCAGTTTGTTATCAAGCGGGATGCTGTCCACAGCTGAGTCAAAGCAGCGTTCTGCCTCACCAATTAAAAGCAGTTGCCAGGGATTCAAAACTAATAAGCCCATATGAAGTTTTTCACATGAAGACAAATTGTTTCGTTCAAAGGATATGCCATGTGGTCTATAGAAATGTCCTCTGCCATGTTATAAACCTAACGGTGCAAACTGCATTCCCCTCATGGTGATAAAGATTCTGTTAGCACAGCTGATGGTAGGTGGATAATCACCAAGCTTTGGTTTGGTTTGTAGGTTTCTACAGGACACCTTTAGTGACATTTTGAAAGGGCCCCTTTATTGAAGTAAGTAGAGAATTGACTTAGGCCAGAAGTGATGTGGCTCAATGCTAGAACACCCACCTATCGTGTGGCTTTCCCGGGGTTAACTTTCCACGCCACCCAAATGAATCAGCTGGCCTATTCCCTAATTAAACACAGTACTGATAGAAGAGGAGCATCACAAAGCATCGGGGCCCCAGGTTTTCAATGGGAAACTCTTTCTCTCAGTCTTACATTGGAAGCTAAGGTCTTACAAATCCTAGCAAATGCTCTGCCATGGAACTATGCTTGCAGCCCCTTTATCAAGTTTGTTATTGTTGCTGTTTTTAGATTCTGACTGCTAAATAAGAAAATTACAGTTTTCCCTACTCACCCACCAACTCTTCCTCTAGAATGCATATAATCTCTGTGGAAATTTTCTGTGGTTGACATCACCCCGGTTGTATGAATGGGAAATTTAGGAGAGTCAGGAATAAAGGTCTCTAGGAGGGATCTGACTGAGATCACTCTTCCAAGTTCGAGTGGCTTTGATTCTCCATTCTTTTTTTTTTCTAAGATCTGTGGTCCCTAGTGCGCCATAGGTAAGAGAACAGGAAACAAGAGAGGGTATGGGAAGTCAGAAACTAAATCTTCAAGATGTCGACTATGCCAGTCAGAAAGAATGAAAACAAAACTGTAGACAGAATTTGGTTAAAAATCATATCAAAATGTGATCTAGAAACAAATGAAAACTCAAAGCAGAATAAAATGGGGAAACCATACAGGGTGGGTCAAGTTGCAAGAATAAACTAGGTGTGATACAGACAAGGGATTTAAAAATCTATGGGAATAAGACAGTGGATAAGATAAAAAAAAATTCATCTCAAAATCGATTTTTTTTCCCCCTGCAAAAGTAGACTCGAAGCTCCTTGTCCTGATTGATATCAGTGGTGAACACTGATTGGCACTAAGCCCTGCCATAGTGTTCACAGCCGTGGAAAGGAGGAGAGGCCTTGATGCTAAATGCCCTTGAGCTGGAGGACTAGGTACTTGTTTTCATTTAGGGTATGTACTCAGTGGTCCAGCCGTCATGTCAGGTTAGAAAGGTCAATGTCAAGTTACCACGTGAAGATCTGATAAACCAAAGGATGGCTTGTTTCTAGATCCTTACAGATGAGTCTTGTAGCAGGTTGTACATTTCTAGAGATATCCAACTGCCTCTGTTTCTTGTTGTCAGCTGTCTAAAATGCACAAAGTGAACACGCGCATAAAATATAATTGCCAAAATGAGTGATTTTATCAGTTATTTTTATTAAAAAAATTCCTGTCAATGATGGGATCTGATACCATCACATTTGAGCCTTGCTGGAGATGGAATTTTATTGAATCACAATGGCGGCTCTCTTTACAGAACAAGGTGTCAAACTTCCTCCTCCTCTTCTCTTTCCTATCCAGCCACGTCTACGTCCACAACTGGGACCAGCCATCTCGTAAAGTGCGCCGAGAAGGAGAAGACTTTCTGTGTGAACGGTGGCGAGTGCTTCATGGTGAAAGACCTGACAAACCCTTCGAGATACTTGTGCAAGTAAGAAATGAATTCCTCTCTGTGGCTCCTATCTGTAGCTGATTATTCCGGATGATTCTGGCTCGTGATTTGCTCCATTGCTTCTTTTCCCCATTTTGTTGCATCCTGTTTGAATAACGTGGATTTATTTGTGGAGGGTTTTGAAATATTTACACCATCTGTCATTGTCTCTGTCGTGTCCAGAACTGGTTTAACTCTTTTCAGTGTATGTGGGTGTTCTTTATTTTAGGTTGTTGTTGGGTTGGTTATTTCGTGTTTGTTTTGGGTTATCTTTTTTTTTTGCTTTCATATGTATAATGTTGCTTTCCTCGTGGTTTTCTTAAATAACTGCCAAAAGAAATGTGCACATATTGTAGAAGGCTGTGACGCTGGATCCCTATTTCTTTCCCCTTGTAGAAACTGAACTGTGAGATAATATTTGTCTCTTATCCCAGTGCTCACCTACAAAGTGGACAGGTCAAACAGAGGAAGCAGGAGGGCAGAAGGTTAAGATGATGTTATTGCCCCACAATTATTCTCCAAACTCTCTAAGTTGCTATTTCTAGTTATAAAAAAAAAAAAGTACATGTGTTCAGAAGTACATTTGGTGTGTTGCAGCACCATTGTTAAAAGAAAGCAGTGTCTGGTCCGTGCTACTGTTACAGACATGTGTAGAATGTCGCTAGGTGTGTGCACAGTTGAGAAAGTATAAAATTAAGCTGGGCGGTGGTGACACGCCATTAGTTCTGAAGACAGAGGCAAGTGGATCTGATTTCAGGGCCAGCCTGGGCTGCAGAGCAAGTACCAGGACAGCCCGGTTTAGTCAGAGAAACCCTGTCCTGAAAAATAAAAAGAGAAAAAACAACAATAACAAACAACAAAAAGAAGTATCAAATTTATATTCTCTCACTAGCAACGTAAAACAGTGTGGAGTTTTTTTGGTACAACAAATATTTAAACTTTATAGTAAAAAGTCAACAGGTGATTAAAATGCATGTCGTTTTCGGTCTATCGGTATTTGTGCTATATTGGTTATATTGACTCATAATATCATGGATAAAAGGAGTTGCGTGTCTTCCTCTGGGCCTCTAGCACAGTCGGTAGACCGCCTTCCTCACGTGCTCCAAGCTGCTTGTGAATTGGATGTGCAGGCGGCAGCAGCTGCCTTTTCCAGCACCGGGAGAAAACAGGGAAGATCAGAAGTTCAGGGCGTTCTACTTCCTTAGCTTTGTAGTGAGCTCCACGCTCACTCTAAAAGGTGGGGAAATGTGAGACCCTCTTTTGAAAAACAGAAGAGACGAGGCTCCTTGAGTGGCAGCGGTGCCAAGAGTGCGCACCTCCCGGAGATGTGAAAGGAGTTGGTTTTATCAATGGAGACCATTCACAAAAACAAATCGTATCTTAGAGTGGAGTGTAGACTTCTATCTAAGCTCAGTTCCTCAGCTGGGAAGGTTTTTATGTAAGAATCTCATTACGTTTTGAAAGCAAGATAAAAATGGCCCACTATAAAGAAAACCGATTTATTTCACACGCATATGACACCATACCAATTCATTTCATACTCATATAATAATTTTAAATTATTCTTAAAGTTAAGATTAGTTTTAATCATAAAAATGATTCTATCGCGTTTGCTTATAGCCAGTTTTCAGTTTTAGCCTTCAGTTCTGCTGAATTGCTATAAAACAGCACAAATGTAACCCTCGCCCCATTTATCATGGTGAACGGGATGAGCATACTTTATAGCCTCCTAAAGACCTTCTTTTATCACATGGAAAATACCAGATGCAAAGAATTACAACCTGTAAGATGTGAAGTTCATTTATCATACTGGGAAACCTTGTGATTTTTCCTCTGATCTTAGGCACAAAATATCATTGTGTTTTCAAAATCTCCTTGGGAAAAAAACATTTAAATTATATACCCTCAAGTTTCCCCCCTTTTAAACAAGTCTCCCCCCATGTTATCTTTGTGTTTGCATTTTTACCCTCTGTAGAAAAGCATGTAGAGACCCCTATGTTTTAATTACAACGATGAAATACGATCATCCCTTATCATAGCCTTTGCAGAGGTTTACCGGCTGTGTGGGTACAGACGCGAGTTTCTGGATACCTCGAAGGAGCCGGTGCAGTTCTTTTCCACGTATTCATTTCATCTATTCTGTAGCCCTCCCACATCCTCCACAAAACGCGCAACCACATGAGTGCTCTTCATCTGCTCCAGTTTGGTACCACGCCAGCAGCTGTGAGTTTTCTTCGCCCGCACAGTGTCTCATTAAGTTTTAAGTAGTAGTATCCAGGAGGAAAAAAACAAAACAAAACAAAACAAAACAAAACAAAAAAACTTCCTTTTTTTTTGGTAAATCTTACACTGAAAAGTTTTTCATATCTCTGGTAGTTATTGAATTAGCCAAGTGAGAATGAATGCTTTATACCTCTCAGAACAATTGTCTGGTGAACCAGGCGTGTATTCCATCCGGTTCTTAGAAAATTACCTTTCCTTTTATTTCTTCGTTTTCATTTCCTTCCTCCCATTGCTAGAATGTTTTTGCTTTTTAAGATTTTTATTGTTACCTTCCCTTTTAAAAAGAACACCTCTGATTTTAGGTCTCAGCTGTTTTTAGAGTGTAACTGGAGTGATGTATCAAAATAATTCAGTGCCTTCAATTAAGAATTGGAGTGCATTTTGCATACAAAACAGACCAGTCCTTGCTAAATGAAAAACTTTCTCTGATAAAGAAAACCGTGTCTATTATAAACATCCCTAACAATAAAATTAATAACAACTCAGAATTTAAACAAAGTCACATAATATGCCCTGTCCTATGATAATCTATTGTTCACTAAAGCACTTGAATAAAAACAGAGAGCATAACAATGTTTCATCGGCTCATCGACGTCCTGTCTATGAAGCCAGTTCATAGTTTCCATATGGCCCATCTGCCTAGAACAAAAACATTGCTGAAGCGTGAGCCATGTTATTCAAAGTCAACCTTATCCTTGACCAAAGACATGACTCAGAAACAGCACAAGCGTGGAAGTCTCCAAGGAATCTCTCTGGTCACCTAATCCACCGTTGTCTTCTTGGGAGTTGAACTGGATTTTACAGCAAATCTCCTTTGCCCCGCTGCTTAGAACAAGGTGTTCCAAATGAATGAGCCATAATGCAGTTAAGTAGTTCTCCAAGGAGGTTTTTGATGCTTACTTGGACTTGCCCATGGGGACCAAGTGGGGGTTTGAGCATTGGTTCTCATCTTTTATATTACTCTTCTCCCCACAGTAACTTAATTTTTTTCCAAGAGAAAGAATTAGTGACTCTCCAGATTACACAAAGAGGAAGAAACCATTCCAGTTTCTATCCTCTGATGCTCTGTCATCATACGGTTTAAAGCAACAAGATCCTTTGAACATGAAATTGTCCAGATTCTTTCTTCTCTTCCCTCATGTCTGCTGCTCTGGGCAGTTGAGCAGAGAACTGACTTGGAAGATGTGAATGGGATGTTTTTTAGTCTAAAAGTTATTTTTGCAACAGAGAAGGCTTATAAATGTGATCTATTGCCCAGTGGACAGATATAGGCTTACAGTGAGGAATCTGGATTTTAACCACCAGTTTTAGTAAGCAGTCCTATGTCCTTCCAGTTTCAACCCCCTGGACAATACCTTCATTTATAACATAGAATTACTATATTCTGCAAATTTTTTCCCTTGGGATCAGAAAAATTAAATGAGTTCATTTTTGCTAAAGTAGTTTTTAACTCCAGTAAGACCTTTTTTTCTCCTCTAATACTAAAATGTAAATGGTACTATTCTCTCTGTAGACAATGACAAAAAAAAAATGGTGGAATTATTTAATCCCTAATTTTTCTTTTTATGTAAAAGTTTTTATGTGGCCGGGCGATGGTGGCGCACGCCTTTAATCCCAGCACTCGGGAGGCAGAGGCAGGCGGATCTCTGTGAGTTGGTGAGTTCGAGACCAGCCTGGTCTACAGAGCTAGTGCCAGGACAGGCTCCAAAGCCACAGAGAAACCCTGTCTCGAAAAACCAAAAAAAAAAAGTTTTTATGTGGCTTTTATGAGGCCACCAGCTAGCTTTGTAACTTTTCACAGGAAGGATAATTTATATATTTGATCACCATATTGATATCTTTGATTACAAGTTTCCTCATTAAAAAAATCAAAATTAAAACTCAGAAATCAATCTACACTTAAAAGACAGTTTCCTTCAAACACTACTTCTTATGACTTCTGTATACTCAATGTTTATACACTGTGTAGATCATGCTATATGATGTACTGTTTAAAGGTACATCATTATATATATAAGAATATATATATATATATATATTCCCAATATTATGCTACTTAAATAAAGTAACTAGGCCATGTGAGTGAATGTGTTCCAAAGAGCACAGTGTTATCTTTGAAGGTAGCTAGAATTTAAAGGGAAAGAAAGGGCTAGAGACAGAAGAGCCTTTACAAACCAAACTCTCATTGCAGAGCGAGTCATTCTAGTATACCAGGCTGTCCTTGAAGATACACTAGTCTTTCCTTTATTTTTGTATCCACATACAACAAATCGGTTCATTGAGGCATTTTTCAAACAACTTCTTTTTGTCGTTTCTTTTTCCTCCTCCCCGGTATTCTGTTCTCCGGCTCCAGCAGCATCCTTTCTTTCTTCATAGCAGCTCTTGTTCCCATGTTCCTCTAGTTCTTCTTTAGAGACTATCCCATCCTTATGCTTCCTTATACACATACACACAAACACTAAAAGTTAAGATCTGAATGTGGAGCACCAACATGGTGACATGCCTACCCAGAACAGCACCTCCACTCCAGGAAGCGAAGCAAACATAAAAGCCTGTTAGGTAGTGCAGCTAGTTTGTGGTCTAACGGCTGGGCAGGGAACTTTGGGCATTGTGATAGCTCGTTAAAGAGCCGGAGTAACTTTGTGAACCAGGAGAATAGCACCATGAACACAGGGATATATTTAGCTACACACGTTCAGGAAATCTAGAAACTAAGA